TAAATATGAGCGGTTTCTCCGATAACGTTTGATCGATGTACATTAGCATGGCTTCCAATATATGGGGAAGAGTGAGAACAGCCGCCAGTTCAATAGGAGATTTTACTGTAATGCCCGTTTCATGTCCCACCTTCGCCAGTGGGTTCGCACCAAACTCGAGCAGGACTTTTACAGCAGGAAGGCTTCTCATAAGCACTGCTCTCCCTAGCGGGGTGTTTTGGGTGCCAAAATTATCTTCCCAATCTGCATTGATCATTCTGACGTCCTTTCGCATTGTTCTACATGCATGCTCTATGATTGCACCAGCACCTAGAAGTCCTTTCACAAGGAATGGCATTTGGTCAGGAGTGAAGCTGGAAAGCCAGTGCAAGGGCGTTTCTTCACCAAATTCTGTTGAGTCACCCTTGGCACCATGCTCGAGGAGAAACATGGCACAGTCAAAATGGCCACTGCGACAAGCACATACAAGAGGCGATTCTGAGAGTGATTTATTCGGAATATCAATGTCACATAAATATGTCTCAATCATGTACTTCAGCGCTTCCAGGTTTCCCTGGGCAGCAGCAAAGTGCAAGAGACCGTGGCCCTTGTGGTTGACAAAGATTTCATCGAACGGTGATGTTATACTTGGTGCAGAGTCAGCACTCTGGTCAATAGCGACCGAAGGGCTGTTCTTCCGTAAACTGGAATTATATGCGGCTCCAATCTCTTTTTTGATTTGGGCTTCGAGAATCGAAATATCATCAAGATCATAGGGTCGTCGTAGTTTCCGAGGCACAAAATGAGGCATTCCGATACCACCAGCAAGGGTCCATGGTTCGGGAGACGCATTCTTCCCAGGAGAAAACAAAACCAACCTTAATCTTGCTACGCAAGCAAAAAGATGCAAACAATAAGAGGGGTTTACAAGTTTTATGGAATATGTGAGATTTCTTCTACATTGATAGCTGATGCTATGGTACATATATATACACAGCTGGTTTCTCCCCTGCCTTAGACTTGCTTGCAGAGCCAGAATCACTAGAATCACGCTACCTGGTTCGATTTATTAATGACGGTAATGTCCTCATACCAGGCCTGCCTTGCTTCAATTGCGGCTCCACCAAAACTGCCGCTGCAGAATAAGTGAGCGTCTTCCGGTGCGGGGCTGATGCCCAACTGATAGTAGTGAGAATGTAGCATTCCCAACAAAACGTCCGTCTGCGACTTCGACCCTCCAATGACCTGATGGATATCTTCAATTGCAGTGGCTGTTGGTGAGATTTTGCATTGTTTAGCCTGTGATTGACTTTGAACAGTTGGCTAATGTGGACTGAAGAATAGATAACGCAATTAGACATTACTCCGTTGTATCGCCATGGATGGGTCCATCTGTGTCAGAACACTGCTCCCCGATCGTATCATTGATGATCGTGGTTCCATATCATCGGATAAGAGCTAACCGAAGCACGAGAGGCGGGATGGATCCATAGTGAACCATGGGTGTTGATGACTGTTATGACTTTGAAATCTTGGCCTGGAAGAAGCATATCCGCATCGCTCCATCCTTCAGTATGCTGATGGGCCTCCAAGTCAATGATCTAACGATGCGGACTTGAAGCTCCCATGCCTCCGCACCTTTATTATTCTGTTTCAACTTCTGACGGTTGGTGTTGGTGTCATGGAAGTGAAAAATAACCAATAGGTGACTTTTGAAGAAGCCGAGCCAATGAAGCCTCGAAACCACCAAAAAAAAAATAAAAATAAAAATAAAAATAAAAATAAATGAGCCCACATGATAATTATTCCACGTGATTTGGCAATCTCATTTTGGGTCATGTGATATCAATGCCTCCACAAAACAACAACTTTCAGCGACATTCGAAATCTGCGGTCAGGACAACAACAACTCGCATATGGAACAAGGACTGCTTTGCATAGAGCTATACCTGCCATGACGTCTCATCTGGTTGCAATTGCGAAAGCTACTTTCTCGGCTGGGCTTTTGCGATCAGATCCCACATCAGTGCACCGCGATGAGATCGCCGTTTTCCATAGCGCCCTCGACAAGGCGCTGGCACAATGCTCTCCAGGAAACATCCAGGTTTGAACAATGACTCCTTATGTCGGCGTTAAATGGGTTTACTAAATTGTTGATCCGGATACATATGCTAGAATTGCAAATCGTGGCTTTTGAAAAATGTCATCCCCTCTGCAGCAAGAATCGGGGCTCTAGGCAAATACCTTGTCACTCTGTCAGGATCCTTCGATCCTAGTGATAAATACCCCCCAGCTGATGGACAGCCCGTGGTTGAAACCTCGAAAACGTCTTCAAAGCGGAAACGATTGCATATCCTGTATTTATTAAACGACCTGTTGCATCACACTAAATACCATGAACAAACGACGTCGTCTTTTTCAAGTTTCAGCGGTTCAATTCAGCCGTTTTTAGTCGAGCTCATCAGCTTCGCATCTGGTTATGGTCGCGAGAAAAACCCAAAACACCACAAGCGATTGGACGATATTCTCGATATATGGTGTAGTAATGGCTACTATAGTAGCGATTATATCAACAAACTTCGCGAGACGGTGTATAATTCATCTTCTCCCGATGCGCTGAATTCAAAATCTGCCCCCAAGGGATCGGATTCTGATACTCCGATCATAGCCGTTTTGAGAGATACTCCTTATATAATGCCAGCAACGCACGGTGACCTTTCCACGCCCTATCACGAACTACCTGCGGGAAATTTAATGCCACTTATAATTCCAAACTCCACCGTTCCGATTAGACCGCATGCAGTCAAGCCTCTTCAGTTCCTTGCGGGGCCCGCTGACGAATCTCTGGTATCGGCTGTGAAGAACTTCTTAAATGATGTGGACAAGATATATAACTCCAATAGTGATATGTTGGCAGATGGACATGACGTGGACATCGATGAGCTTGGTCAGGTTGTTGTCCGTGACGAAGTGACAGGAGAAATCATCGATGGAGAAACATACTATGGTTGGTCGCGCTCATTCTGCGAGAAAATGAAAAAGAGACAAGACAGATTCGGCAGTAGGAATCGAAGTCGAAGTCGCAGCCGCAGCCGCAGCCGCAGCCGGAGTTATGATACAAGGAAGCGGCGACGATACAGCGATAGCATCAGCAGTGATGATAGGGAAAGATCAAAATCACCAGGCTCATCGATATCTCCCCGTCGTAATCGAAGCCGCTCACATTCGCGCTCCATTTCGCGATCCCGATCCCGCACTGCCCCACGACGTGCCGGACACCGTAGATCAGGTACCAGATCAAAATCATACTCTCCTCGCCCGTTATCTCCGCCAAGATTTCCACCCCAGCAACAAAGTCCGCCCTTCCCGCCGCCTCCAGGAGCAGTTCCGCATATTCTTCCTCCACCCACAATCCCATACCCATTCAATGGAACCCAACAATTTCCTCCCCCACACCCAACAGTCCTGGGTTCAGGAGGCATGTTTATCCCCCCACCTCCGCCAAAGCCACCAGGCTATCTTGGAACATGGCCACCTCCACCCCCACCCCTTCCGCCCTCACAGCATCCTGGCGCACCACCACCGTTCCCACCACATCTACCACCCATGAGTATGGATATGAACTTTCCGGGCTTCAATAATCCAACCGCGTTTCAACACCAAGCCGGGCCCGGGGGGCCGCAGTTCTCTGCCCATCCACATCCACATCCGCCACCACCTCCACCATCTGATCAACAGTTACATTCTGGATCATACCATTTCCCGTCTCCGCATGTGGGACAGGGGCAAGGGCGTGGAACCCCGCCCAGTCGCTGCGGAGATGCGAATAGTTCCGGTGGTGGTCGGGGAGGTAACTCCGGTGGAAGGGGCGGTTGGGGTAGAGGAGGGTGGTATTGATTTGCCTTATTATTCATTTTCGATTTACGATCGACGGACTGAAAATTGGATTGGAATTATAAAGTTGGGTTGCGCATGGTTTAGCAGATGTGGTATATTTCGCTACTCAGTTAGGCGGGAAATCTTTGTTTTTGCCATCTCCGATACTCTTTACAGTAATACCTACAATTGAATTGCTAATGAGCAAAGTTTGTAGGGGATGTTTGTCTAATTGTGGAGATGGCAAAACGTAGTGGTGTGGTGGAAACTGTCAACCACCCCATTTTCTTTTTGAAAAAAAAAAAGGAAAAGAGAAAGAAAAAGAGAAAGAGAAAGAAAAATTTGGGATGCAAAGGCGTTGGTTTTGTCCGCATTGCACCATGATATCCTGGTTAATGCAGAGCAATGAATGCTCTGTTTCCAATAAATAGCTGTCAAGTGTTTGTAGATTTCGTATCGAGCCTTTTAACGTTCTTACCAGTTCACGTCAGTCTCCTGATGAACACGACCCCTCTTCTGGCAACTCGCATTGTACCCATTGATGAAGCAAGAAGTTGTCATCAATAAGGGCTTATCCCCTCGTTTGTCGGGCATCTGAATTTTCAGACATTTTCAGACCTGACATTTGGTTGGTTCCAGGCTTAACTTGCATTCCTAGCTCGAAATACACCACTTGCCTGCACACTTGCGGACTGCATGCACATGGATATCTCTCCCCCCCAGGATTTCCTCCCCACCACTGGTAGTCTCAGTTTAAATGCAACCTCTCTCTAAAATCTATTTCGTCTGATCTATGTCAATTGAGTCGGTTAAAGTTAAGGTTTCAGGGATACAAGAGTCTCTTAAGTAAACCAGGCATCAGATATGAGATCGCCATAAACATCTGCCTGACCATTACAATGACTGGTGGGTGGTGGGAGGTTTAAGAGAGCCCAATTTTTAAATTAATGACGGAGCCTCTACAACATCCAGTTATCGCAGGCCCATCCATGTCGTCGACCCGGTCAGAGACGTGAACTACCTTGGGAGAAGAGATGAATAACGGCAAACGGTTTACGCCAGTCAGCCAATTGAGTTCGCATCTTGTTAACAACATGGATTGCCAGATCAAGGAGTTAGCCCTATATATAAAGTCCGAAGCTCCTCTGTCCCCGGGTGTTTAAGAGTATTCAGTAATTCTCCAAATTTCTGTCGTATTTAGTCACCTACCGCAGTCGTTAGTTTCATTAGTTAACTAATTGAAGCCAAGCACAAAACACACATTTGCACGCAGACCAACATGTCTGGGTCGAACTCTTTCAAAGTCCTCATTCTCCCTTTTCCGGAGTTCGACACATTGGACGTTTATGCTCCAATCGAAGTCCTGGGCAAGGGTGCCGCCATCGGTGGTGTCACCATAACTTTCGATATTGCCACAGCCTCCAAAAAAACACTCAGCGCCGAGAAAATCCCCGTTGTTCAGGATCTCAGTATCTGTGAAGCACTGCAGCAGCTTGAACAATATGAAATTGTCATTCAGCCTGGTGGTGCTGTATCTGCGATACAAAAGTATCTGGAAAATCCCGCCCAAGTTGGCTTGGACCAAGAATCCGTGGACGAACATCTGCAGCTGCTCTTGAGATTTTCTCAACTGGAAACGCTCTCCCCCCGGGGCTGTCGACGTGTTCTCATGTCTATATGTACAGGGGCGTTGATCGCGGGGCTCTCGGGGGCTTTCAGTAATTTAACAGTCACTACACACTATTCGGGTCTCCAGCAGCTGAAGGAGTATTGCCAGAGAGGGGGTCAGGGGACTATTGTTGATCCAGATATAGGAGAAGGAGGGTATGTCGGTTACGCGGCTGGGCAACTAAATTCAAAGAGATGGGTTCTGTCAGACCGTTCCGGGTGTGCTGTGAGAGTTATTAGCTCTGGAGGAATCAGTTGTGGGTTGGATGCGTCGTTGTTTCTGGTGAGTGAGTTGGAGGTGTGGAAGGATGGGCACCTGGAGAACATCGGGTTGGAAAAAGCGCATCAGTGTGCGCGAATTATGGATTATGCCTGGCGATGGGCTTGAGCATGGCGATGGTAATTGCGGAGAAATACATTTATCTGGCTGGTTAACTGCTGGATAATTTGTTCTGGTATCAGGCAGTGTTCCTATCCTACATCTGTTCTATTCGTCACCTAGCGTCTTATTTTCGAGTTTATCTCCACTAAGTTGTCCTTGTTAAACAACGAATTGTTTAACTAATTAACTACGGGAGCCAACCAGTTGATTAATTCAGTGGCTGAAGAACTGGCATTCAGTATTTCGTGTTTCATGTCTTGGAATATCTCTGTACCAGATTTTATTTGGATGTGTCCGTACCTGGGTATGTTATCCAAGCACTAAGAAAACCGTTAGATCTGAATATGTTGTTACAACACCAAAGGGCCAGTTTTAAAAAGCAATATGAAGCTTAAAATGCCCAAAATTAGTTAGTTCTAACGACCATAGGTAATCTACAGCATTAATAACCAGTTAAGCTTCTCCCAAGAGTCTGTGGTGGTAGATATGGCTATGGGATATTTCAATGTCAGCGGAAATCGCACAAACAAGAGATCACATTTGCCAAACCTCAATCAAAGCCTCCTCTCATATACTTCAGCATGGTCCTCGTCGCCGTTTGCTGATTCATCTCATCCCCTTCCTTCCAATTCGTCGGTTTTTCCTCCGTTAACACAGAGAGATCCGCAGGCTCCAAAGCGGCAGCAGCCGTTAGCTGCACCATCGAGGTACTTAGTTTGATCCTGTCTTCCAAGAGTTTTCTCCTATCTTGCAATGATAACCACGTTGCATCGGAGGATGCTCCGGATGATTGCAATAGGGGAAGTATAGATGCAAAGCGCTCAAGTTCCAACAAGCTATCGGTTGACAGCGTAGTTGATTTCTCTAATTCGGAAAAGCGTGACTCAAATGCTGCCAGTGCCAGGAGCAGGGGAGTTAGGGTCCCGGTTCCCCACTCCTTCTTAAGGTCTCTATCAAACAATCCCAACGACTTTATATCACTTTCGCTCAATCGATCGATTCGCATTGGGATTGCCGTGTCGGCCTTGTGGGATAGAAGCGCAGTTATCATTTCAATATTACCAGTAACGCTAGCAATACACAATGCAGTACCTAATGTAGGGTGAACGCAATTAATATCCCCTGCAGCATGGAAGGCTGTGAGAACGGATTGAATAGTTCTGGCTGAGATTTGTGATTTGTCGTTTATAATGTTTGCAGGGCAGAGCGCGAGAACGTGGAGAGCGGTGAGATCCCTAGTTTTGTTGACAACGAAATCTACTCTGTGAACGAGCTAGGGTAGTTCACTTAGTTTCCATCAAGAATAAGCGAAACTTGGGAGATACTTACATTGGAAGAATTGACAGTCGATCTCCCAAAGATATAGTCCATTGCTTCTAACGTCCCCTCTGTATGTGTCAGGAGAAGTTCATCAAGGACGGTAACCCATTCCCCCTCCCTGCCGAGCTGATAGATGGCGTTAATATCAGCTCCTTTGTCCAGAAGGAAACTAGCAAGATCAAAATAGCGATTTTTTATGGCAAGAGCTAAACTCGAAGGGCTACCGTCAGGTAATGGCTCGATAGCCATTCCCAATCTGACAAGATACTCTGCTATAAAAGTACCATCGGGAGATGTCCGTGGACGGCTAGCCAAGAGTTGAAGCAAAGAGAACTGCTTTCCATTGTGAACGGCACGTTTTACAGTTGGTCTGGCACCATGATTTACCAGAAGCCGGAAAATAGCTACATGGTTCATCATAACTGCCTCCTCAATAGGGCGATAACCAGGTGAGCCATCTGGATCGTGCCCCAGCTCCAATAACGCCTCCACAATATCAGTATTTCCAAGTTTCACTTCCTGGCACAACGCCATGCCTTCAACCGGTCGTCCGGTGTCTATATTTCTCCAGTCCCGGAGTTTCTCATGCCTTCGTTGTAGCATCTTAAGTGTTTGAAACATTAAAAGTTTGTAATCGGCACCGCAACGGACCAGCCTGCTTTGCAACGCGGTTGGATCATATGGAGTTATGGATTTTTCATGGGCGGCTTGTAACATTCCAATCTCGTTAAATATGAGCGGTTTCTCCGATAACGTTTGATCGATGTACATTAGCATGGCTTCCAATATATGGGGAAGAGTGAGAACAGCCGCCAGTTCAATAGGAGATTTTACTGTAATGCCCGTTTCATGTCCCACCTTCGCCAGTGGGTTCGCACCAAACTCGAGCAGGACTTTTACAGCAGGAAGGCTTCTCATAAGCACTGCTCTCCCTAGCGGGGTGTTTTGGGTGCCAAAATTATCTTCCCAATCTGCATTGATCATTCTGACGTCCTTTCGCATTGTTCTACATGCATGCTCTATGATTGCACCAGCACCTAGAAGTCCTTTCACAAGGAATGGCATTTGGTCAGGAGTGAAGCTGGAAAGCCAGTGCAAGGGCGTTTCTTCACCAAATTCTGTTGAGTCACCCTTGGCACCATGCTCGAGGAGAAACATGGCACAGTCAAAATGGCCACTGCGACAAGCACATACAAGAGGCGATTCTGAGAGTGATTTATTCGGAATATCAATGTCACATAAATATGTCTCAATCATGTACTTCAGCGCTTCCAGGTTTCCCTGGGCAGCAGCAAAGTGCAAGAGACCGTGGCCCTTGTGGTTGACAAAGATTTCATCGAACGGTGATGTTATACTTGGTGCAGAGTCAGCACTCTGGTCAATAGCGACCGAAGGGCTGTTCTTCCGTAAACTGGAATTATATGCGGCTCCAATCTCTTTTTTGATTTGGGCTTCGAGAATCGAAATATCATCAAGATCATAGGGTCGTCGTAGTTTCCGAGGCACAAAATGAGGCATTCCGATACCACCAGCAAGGGTCCTCCGAGCCCAATCTGCATTCTTTATCATCTTTTCCCACTCATCCCGCTCGTCCTGATTAGCCAGTCGACCAATTATAGCTCGACCATCCTCCATACAGTTTTGATGACCTCTTATTAGACCCCATTGGATAAACTCTTGCAGCTGATCCAGCGTAAGAGATATTGGCACGGAGAGAGCAGTGCTCACACGCCAAAACCAAGCCATTGCCCAATAGTCGACGTCACCTTCATCGCCCGCGTTTGCGGATTGCAGCAGCCAATGGCATGCTTGCTCTGCATCAAAAGTGACCCCAAATCCTGTCAAATGGCATTGGAAAAGATAGTAGGCCGCTTTCCAAGGCTGCAATCCATCAGGAGTTCCAGGCCTAACACAGCGACAAGCCTCTATAAAATCATGTATGATCTGTTGCTGCTGACCCCAGTCAAGAATTGTTTTGAGTTTCTGAGGTTCAAACCAAAATTCCCCTATATCTGGATGGTCTAGTTTCGGTCGAAAACCTGGAGTATTTCGTTGGCAATCATAATCGTCACCCAAGTTCCCAAGAAAAAATCCTAGGTTATCAACTGTCATTCCATGGGTCCCTGGGGATTCATTACGTTCGGTCTCATCACGCTCAGCATTCACTTTTGCTATCTTTTGCAGAAATGAATCGATTTTAGTGATGTCCATGCCCCTCAATGCCGCCTGAGCTTGGGGGAGAGAACGATGTCCCGGTTCAGCGACGATTGTTTGCGCAAGCACGTACAAGATGAGTGCTAGGGCATTCTCACTGACTCGATTACTTGAAGCATAAACTTGAACACTACACACTGCATTCGCAATGAGTTCATTGCTCAATTTCAGCCGCTGGAGCTCTTTCTCGGAAGCATCTGTCGGCCTAGGCCCGAGCCCCAACTCAGAACTGATATTTCTTCCGTCAAGAAATGCTCTCCACACCAGCAACCCGAAGGAGTAAACATCCGTCTGCTTTAACCCGTCGGACGAGAGTCGATTTGAAGATTCAGGAGCTTGGTACGGGAAAGTTCCCATCCGCAGATAGGATAGATCACGTTGTTCAATGTCCATTACTGCTCCCCCAAAATCTGCCAATTTCGCAGTGTATGGCTGACATTCGACAGTATCATACCTGTTTTCAAAGATCAGGACATTCTCATGCTTGAGATCGCCATGCACGATCCCGCACGCGTGAAGAATTGCAAGGCCTCGGGAAATATCGTAGCAAAGCTTCTGTTTGACAGGAAACGGTAGGGGAATATTGGAGGCCTGGAGATTGTAAAACGAGCCGAAAATGGCATATTCCATAATAATTTTTGGGTATACAGAGTCTGACTCTGTGGGCGATCCCCATCCGAATCCCAATAAACGAACAATGTTGGGATGGTATCGTAAAGGTTTATGTAACAACGCTCGAAGCTCAAGAGCCACATCGTTCCAGTTGTTCTGAAGGCTGTTTAGGGGCGAGCATTAATATCTAAGCATCATAAAAACATCAATTACAAGCTATATAAAGTGTACCAACCGAGAAGTAGACCTTTCACGTACACTCTTCACAGCTACATACTTCCCCCACTTTAAAAACCGCTGAGATAATGACACCTCTAGTTTATTCACACCAGGTTGCCATTCGGCACGTTCGACGACGAAGGAAGCGCCAGATCCAATCTTCGTCCTTGATAACTCTTTGATTTCGTTATTGTCGTCGAAGAAAACGGAATCATCCGAACGAAGCTCTTTTTGGAGATGGGAGGCATGGCGTATGAAGGACGCAAGGCTTCTCTGAGCCGACCATTCTGCCACTTGTGAAGTGACAGGAGTGTGTACGTTTGGTGTTCGAACACCCTGGCCAGAAGTCTCTGTTGATTCGGACACGAAAGCCGATTCGAAGAGCAGTGAGGTCATGCTAAACGATCATGGAGCGGACCCCAAGCCTCATGTCCAACATCAAAGGGTTCTCTTTGATGACCATGAGCGGCCATTCACACATTTTTCACGTCGATATTGAATGCCTGGACTTAATTCTAGCCTTGTTCCCAAAAATCCCTGCTTCGCCTATTTATTTAGTTGCCCCTCCAGCCTTGGAGAGCACCATTTCGTTTCCGGACCGATCCAGATGCAGACAGGAAGGGAAACTAAAGTATGTCAAAAGCACGAGCTGATGTATCACCGTGCAAACACACGTCATTGGCAGGCTCTTAAGCAAGACATGCAAGAGGAAACGCGAATGATACCTTTAGCTCCGCATGATAAACAAAAATCGTGCGCTCTGGGCTTAAAAGCAGATATTTCTTGGTGCGGATGGTGAAAGTCTAGTCAAACCCAATCATGCAGACACATGAACAGTTTATAAATCGATGAAAGTCTGTCAAACCCAATCATGCAGGCACATAAACAGTCTATAAATCGATGAAAATCTCACAGAGGTATACATCGACATTGTTAGGTGATGTTTGATGTCTAAAATCTGATTAGGGTTATCGGAATATTAGCTGAAGCAACAGCTTTGCTCTAGAATAGACAATTATGCTCGATCCGGGCTCGGTAATTGCACTGATAACCATCGCATATAAAGGCACAAATCTTGCTTGGGACATATTCCATGACGCGCTACATTACTCTTCCGACTCAGAAGATTTAATTCTCCAGCTGGAACTCGAACGTTTCCGTTTCCAAACATGGGCCAGAAATGCTGGCCTTATGGACGGCGAGCTATCGACCGGCTTGCTTCCTATCTACGAAACAGTGGAAAGAACACTGCGGGTAATCGGTGGACTATTGGAGAATGCTGATCAACTGCGTGAGAGGTACGGACTTTGTGCGTCGCAGTCCGAAACGCCAGAGCCAGATAAGGTCAAGCGCTTCATCACCAAAATGAGAAAATCGATTCGAGCAAGCGGAATCAAGCTCGAGATCGCCGGTGCCACTGAGAACAGGGATGAAAACGAAGAGCAGCTATCACCTGGAGTTGGTTGTCCAGTTGGACCAGGGAAACGGCTTCGGTGGGGTGTTCGGGATAGGAACCAGTTTCGAAAACTGATATCTGATCTTGAATGGCATGTTCAGAAACTCAATCAGCTGCTCACCGAAACCCAGCAAAGAGCAGTGAAAGAAGACGGGAAAAGAATTGACATTGTCTTTATCGGGAATGCAAATGATGATCTATCTCTACAGTTGATTCGGGAAGCACTTGAACAGGAGCCTGAAACTTCATCGATTCGGGGCCTGGCAGAGAGAAAGGCGTTGGTTGATGGGTCGTCATTAACTTCACGCGCTGGACCAATGGCTCTCAGCCCACTGACGCTGGGAGATTTCTCGTTTCCTGCCGGATATCAAGCTGAAAATCGCTTCATGGCCAAAAATAAACTGTCCGGTGAATATGTCCTTCTGGAAAGAAAGGACTATGATCCTGACATATCTGGGCGAGATAAGCAGATTCTAACTATGAGAGTCAACCGACTTGTTCTCCTTTTAAGTGCAGCTAAGTCTGCAGATTTCTGCACTCCGCAGTCGATTGGTCTCATTCATGATCCTGGAAATCATTGCTGGTGGATAACGTTTAAATTTCCTCGAGCGAGCATCGCAGAAATTCCCCTGGATTCTGTCTCAACCCAGCCAATATCCCTCCTTTCACTTCTGGAATCAAAATTACGCCCACCATTAGAAACACGACTCCGTCTTGCTAGCATGCTAGCCACGACCTTGAGTGAGCTATATGGCAGTAGCTGGCTGCACAAAAACATACGGAGCGAAAACATTCTTTTCCCAGACCTGTATCAAAAGAAGAAAAGCCACAAAAATGAACCGTCGCCTCTGGATAACTACTCTTCCCAACTATTATCACCCCTTATTGCAGGTTTCAATTACTCTCGCCAGGAAACCGAGTCCCAAACAATTGACAAAAACCAGTTCCACCATGACATCAGGCCCGTCATCTATAGACACCCGAATTACCAAGGTGAAGCAGCACAGGGATACAAAATTGGTTATGACATTTACTCCTTTGGTCTGGTGTTAGCGGAGATAGCGTGGTGGGTTCCTCTGTCGTCATTCCTCGACGCAAAGGTGACGAACACTTCGGGGCACCCGTCGTCATTGTTGCAGAGCCGATCTTTAAGGGGGGGCGCCACTAGTAGCACGTTGATTGCTTCTGTTCAACTCTCCTCCAGCATGAGCCGGTTCCAACTCCCCGAGGCACTGGAACTTCAGCGACGTGTCACTTCACGAGCAGACCGTGAGTTAGCGTTTCGTGTTGGCACTACGTATTTTGACGCCGTGAAGTGGTGTTTGGGGTATGCTGATAAACACAATGACGCCGATAGCACCATATCCAACACTGAAAATACTGCAACTACAGAAACTATCCAAAGTTTCGGGGATTGGCACCCGGCATTGGACTTTTATAATCAAGTCGTTGTGCCATTGAGGAAGATTGCTAACGTGGACTGAAAAATGCGAGTTCGCATCTATGGCTGGGGTGACGTCATACAGTGAACTTTATTTTTTTCTTTCTTCAGCAGTTTGGATTAGCGTTGGCGGATCTGCTGATACGGTTTATGTGTTGTCCTCATGTCTTTTTGCCAACCCCGGATAGAATATCGTTATCGTAGAATCGGCGGGTTCAATGGGGTGGTAGATATGTTAAGTTGCGATATAAGGATTGACTATTATGCACCATTATGACAAATGCGAATTATTCAAAGTCTTCCCATATGGATTGGCTGTTGAATCCACTGTTGAATGCAAATATTGCTTAACATCAATGGCAACCATCCCCAAGAAAACAAATATATCAAGGTATTGGGTGTTCAAACGCTGAAATCGGCTATATGTGCACTTAAGAACAAGAAACAAGAATGCAAACTTTAAGCATGATTTTCGGGGGGTTCAGGCTTTCCGGGCATCATATTATAATCATATAACTACCCTATCTTTGTTTTGGGATGCTTTTAAGACCGTTGCTTAATTAAGCGGGCCGTGACCGAAATGCAAATAATGTCGGAGTAATGATAACCCTGACCATGTGTGATATTTGTGCATGGAGAAAATGCGATATAGAAGTCAAAACAAACGGCGAGGACATCCCCTGAGTTCAGAACAGTAAGATACCCCCTCAGTTCGTGATTTCCCCACATAACATGCCACGTCTGGATACTCGGAACAATGCTCCCCATCCCCCATTTAAAATGAAAGATTCGAACCTTGTTTGTTCGGTGAATTGACACTTGGCAAACGGCTGTTTTCTCTATTTCCGTCGTTGGAGCCGCGGTTACTCGCAGATGGAATCCTTTCTATCTGCCGTTGTGTATGTTGGTGCATTATTCTTGAGTAATCCTCCAATGACAGCGCTCTACCGTGTAGCGTATTGTAGCTCATTATCGATCGAGGAGAGTCCTGTTGGGGAGTAGGGGATTGTTGATGGCGCTCGACCGAGTTGGGGTGCGATCTCCTAGGAGAGGAGCGTGGGTAATTATTCATACGCAGGGGCCAGGAGTATGGTGATAGCAGAGAGCTCAGTACAAGCTTTGTATTGGACATAAAAGGGGTTTCTTCTTAGGTAAATCTAAAAGCTTAGTGTAAGGCCAGCATGATAGGAATATATTTGAATGTAATTGATGTTTGTGAACATTCGTGGCTAAGGAGATTGAGATGAATATAATCCTGGGGAGCTTATATGGAGCCTGAATTCGTACCCCAACGAGCTGGGAAAGTACTGTAACCGGTTCATGTTTTTCAGGTTAAGGTGAAATGCTGGTAAAAGGCTTACGGAAATCGATATCCCACGACAATCATGCCGAATAAGCATAATAAGTGGTGGATGCAGCAGTGGAATACACAATGAGGTAAACCAATATTAGGTTAAGGGTCCACGTCGCGACCTTATACCGTCCAGCAAACTCCTGGTTTACATTTTGTGGCGGAAGGGACACAAGGAGTGGAATCACCGACAGAAATCATATCACCTCAGGCAAATGAAAATCTGGGGCTAAACCATGTAATCAGAGCAACTTAGACATAAAAAATGTTCGCAACGTACCGATTGATGTGGTCGCAAATATATGGTGAATATATAGTTTAAAATGTGGTCCAAGAAGAAAACGTGTGGGAAAAAAATCACAAGTTTTGGAAAATTCGATATCCAATAACAAGAGATATATGAATGTATAAGAGGCTATGTCGTCACTGACGGGATGATGATAATGTGCGTTGGACAATCCGGGTGAACAACCCAAGGTGCCTTGGATCCGCGGGCAAAATTCAAACCTTAGGAACAACAAACGGCCCCCGCACTTTAATTGAATTTGAACAAGAAATATTTTGTTGGCGGGAGCAATGGAGACAGATCATCTTAACAAATTGAACACGGCAATTCCATAGAAACTACTACACCGGCTGGAATGACATGGAGGGCCGTGAGTTCGACAGGCTGAATGGTCTAGCTTGCGGAAGGCGAAATATATGCAGGCCTCCACATATATGACGTCCGACTACGAAGGAAGTAACCGAAATGTTGACAATCCTTGTTATCTGATCTTTTTGCTGATGCAATAATGCCCGCGATCTGCAGATAAAATTCAGAATACTGAGGTAAGACGTAACATAGCTGCAGATATGGCTTCATAGCAGGCCAGCGAAGGATACCTAAAGCCTGAAAAGTGGATAGATAGCCTGAATTAATGATATAAGCGATCAAACGGGTATAATAAAGATAATGAGCGACAAGACCTGCTCATTCCCGGTAATTAGCTGCTACTCAGTTAAAATCTCTCTTCTCTCCTATATATTCTATCACACTGACGTCTTTCCTCCGTAAATACGTACCAATAAGTTAGAAATTGCTGATAATTTCGTAGATCGGCGGGCGCATACGTTCATCAACCACGGTTGGCGTGCTAGAAATCAGAGGCGTTTCTCCGATGAGGTTATGATGACCTCACAAACCTAATGTCACGTGAACGATGGGTTTGGAACCTATGGTCCTGACCCGAGAGCCGCAAAAACGAATGTTACAGAAAAATGAATAGAGAAAACGGCATGCTGTAAAACATATTTCGATGTAGATATATAAATACCATATCAACATAAACAGCTTTCATATACACCATCGATTAATATAACAAAATCCCAGAACGTCAGTTGCTGAATGAAAAACTCGATTCAAATAATAAAAACTAGAATAAGAACCTGGCCAAAAATTGCATCATACGTAGCCTAATCATCGATATTAGCAAAGCAGGATTTGGCGAAATAACTTGAACGGTTGGGGGTAGGCAAAATACAACTAGCAAAGGGGGAAACGGGAAAAAAAAAAAAAAAAAACCCACCCTTTCTAGCGCCCTGGAAAAAGAATCTAACAATAAACACTTGAAGCGCCGCCATAGTCATCATCATTAGGCCCTCGATAACACTGAAATTGAAAATCCGCTGCTCAGTACTGCGCACAGTGCTGAAATTTCGATTCTCACGTGTCCGGAAGTACTTTTGGTTCCGACTGATCGTCGACAGCTGGCCTGAGATCTTAAAGATGGATTCCTCCAGCGCGGACGCTTGTTCAGGTGGTGCTCCTTGTTTCGAAGGGAGTTTGGCTCTTTCTTCATTCTCAACCTGTAGCCGAAAAGTTACATCATGATCCCTGTAAATTGTGAAAGAAAGCCAGGTAGAGGTATAGTTGTAGGGGGAAGAAAAACCCAACCGTAATCTCAAAATCCACCAACTTCTCCGCAAACGTCGACATGTCATTGTCAAAGCAGAACCGGTACTCGCCCACCGTCTCGGCACTGAAGACGAAATCGCCCTGTCTCTCCTTTGAACCTTCCATGATCACCTTCTCGTTGGGGCCGACGACTGAGTAATCGACATCAAAGGAGCCTCCCGATTGTACCTGTAATGTGTAATCATATCATCAGCTCATTGAAAACCAGACAACAAAAACATCCCAACACGTAAAATAGTACACAAGCATACGTCCACTGTTGTTGTCTTCCCGGAGGATCTGCATTCATTTCCCTCCAACCACAGATATCACCAGAACCTCCCAATGCCATCCTAACCCAGTCCCACACCATATATATAAAAGGTAAATGTATACTAACCGCAAAATAAAACGCAACCTTGGCTGGCGGGCTTTCGACATAGGTGTAGAAGCATGCCTTTTCGCTTGCATCGAGTTTGTACGTTAAAGCGGTCGCAGAAACAACGGTGAGCCAGCAGGGGAGCGCCAGGAGGCTCAGCGCAACGGTATGTAGCCGCATCGTTCAAAATTCGATCCCACGACGATGTTGTTGGCTTTTTGGTTTGCGAGAATATGAATTGTTGTTGACAGCTATCGGTTATTTGATGTTTGAGTTTGGGACGCACAGGGGGATGTTTGCATTGTTTGCATTTGTCATAGTTAACTTAAACCACTTCAATCAGTTTGACATGAACAACTGGGATACCAAAGTAACTTAAGTAACAACTATAGCTACCAAATTATTCCCTGTATGCTGGGAGCATGCACTAACAGTATGTCCTACAATATCACATTCACTGCACTGTGGTACTGCTTGCTTTCATGATCACTTATCTAACTGCTTTATCACATCTCTATTCTTCTCATTTTATCTTTGTATGCAATATATTTCTTCTTAAATGGTCAAACTCTCTCTCTGACTTATATATGTATACTGTCTTACACATTTTCAATTTTATTTGACATTTTGCAGTCTTTAGCTTTTTATTTTCTCTTGTTAGAATGACAGCATCATGCATAATGATCTAACATTTAACTAGTTGGTTGATCTAAGAGCTTGATTGATAGAACTGAGTAAACTCTATATATAAAACTTTAAATATTTTTAAAATCTTCTTACTCTAAAGCTTTAGTTGTCATATAGTATAAAATATGAAAGTGATTTAAAAGATCTAGAAACTATAAAATATTTCTAAAGAAATAAAAGTATATATTTAAGTGTTAAAATAATTAAAAACTTGCTCTAAGTTATATGAAATTAGTTTTATAGCTCTAAAATTACTTTTATTTTTTTTTTTTCATTTAGAATTACTATATAGATAAAAATAAATAGTCAAATTTTTATTTTTTATTAATATGATTGATATTAAATTTTATTTTCTTTTTAATATCTCTTCTATATATTTGTTTTTAATAAAAAATAATTACAATCAAAGATTGTAAAAAATGAGAGAAATAAGCTGATAAAAAAAATATATTTAAATTAAAAATTATTACTAGTCAATTATTGTTAGGCTCAGCGCCCGATAGAGCCTGACTGAGGCCCGGCGCCCGATTAGACTCGGCGCCCGATTAGGCCTAATCCTCATCATGTGACCATGCGACCATGCGGGTTGTTATAATCCAGGCAGCACCCCCTTTCATCTCATCAAGCTTAGCATTTTGTTATATAGCATTTAGCAACGCAGAGAGTTTCCTTCTTATGAAGCTTGCATTCGCGCCCTAACAATTATACAGAATTGACTATATTTATCGAATATCTTTTCAAATCAGATTAATAATAGTTTATTAGTTATTTATTCATTCTGTTAGAGAGTGAATGTGAGCTGCATAAGAAGGAACTCTCTGTGTTGCTAACTACTATATAACAAAATACTAAGCTTGATGAAATGAAAGAGGGTGCTGAGGTCTGCCCAGATTAATAACAACCCGTGTGTGGTCATGTGATGAGGGTTAGACCTAATTGGGCGCTGAGTCTAATCCAGCACTAGTCTAATCAGATGCTGAGTCTAATCCAACATCAAGTCTAGTCAGGCGCCAAGTCTAATCAGGCGCCGGGGCGCTGAGCCTAACACATTCTAACTGATTTTAATTCTTAAATTATATAGTAGCTTATTCTCATATTAAAATATTTAATATAACTTTTTTTTCTTGAAGATAATTATTAATAATAAAAATCAGTCAGTTATATTTAACTTTTTTTTATAAATAATAACTCTTTTTATATTTTCAAACTATGTAAGTTTTAGAAATTTTTTTCTAATTTTATAATCATTTTAATTATTATAATAATTTTTATTTTAGACTTAATCTTATTAAAGTTATATATATATATATATATATATATTTATATAATTTTATACTTCTGAATATTATTCTATACAAATTAAATTATTTTGATATTATTTTGAAATCTTCACATAAAGCTCACTAATAATCATATAATCTTGAAAATTAAAATTTTAATTCAAAATGATAATTAATGAATCAGTTAGCTTAATTAATGTCAGTAAGTGAAGTGACAGAGGTGTCTCAATTGACAAAGAAGAATGACTATTTCTCATATAGTTTTCATCTAAGAGAACTGACTACATGCATTCATTCATAAAGATTATTCACTGAATGATAGCTAACTCTTTAGTAAAGATCAATTTTCAATTCCTAAGTTGAGAATTCTCTCATGTTATATAACCATTCAATTGATTCTATACAGTGATAAAGAAAATGCCAAATAAGCTCATAGCTTTCTTGATGCTTGAGATCTGGCCTTTTTTTAGCTAAAAGAAACTTTCCTTCCTGATTGAAAGCTTGAAAATGCCTTGATGTAGGCATCTTGTTAGTGAGAATGCTGAATATGTACGTGTCAGGGAAACATTCAACTAGGTGGTGAATTACGTTAGTTAAATGAAGGATGACAATCTGATTATTTATCGCCAAGCCTAACTTCTTATAACAGGACAATAAAACCTCCTCCCTGTTTGAAACCAATAATAAAAGCAAGAAAGAAAAAAAAGCTTAACAACGCATACAAGCAACCTATTCCAAACAAGCAACACGCAAAGAAAACGCTGGTGCTTTGTATTTAATAAGGTAAAAACGACCAAGCGGGCAGACAAACAAAAAGTAAATAAATAACAAAGTAAATAAATAAAGATCTCCTAAAATCAAATAGAATCCATGTGGGAGAAAGAGAAAATGAGAGAAGAGGGAAAGAGAATAACAATAGAAAAAGGAAAACTTCCATAGTTCAAAATTTTGGTTCACCTCATTTCCCCATTTTCCAACTGCCATCTAACGATCCTTTTGACTCCGACATAAAACCTGTGTTTTTAACTATACCTTTGGCATACAATAAACTCAACTGCTATCCAGCAGTTTTCTCCTTCGTATTGATAACACAAAAGAAAAATGGGTAGCTTAGCACAGTATAACAAATGAAGGCAAGAAGAGGAATGGTTAAGGGGAGAAAGAGGAGAGTGGAAAAGCAGAGGAACAGAAAGAATGGAAAAAAATCAAAGAATGTGATAAAGAAACAATTAACACCAGAGTCCATTTGTAATGTCTATCGGATAAAGAATCCCTCACTCTTCCAGAAACTTCTGTTTTTATTTACATGGTCGAGGCCGAGCACATCTTGTGGTTCAGCGGCCAAATCTGAGAGTATATCGTCTACATCCTTTAAATGTTAGCGGAGAAAGAATAAAACAGTGATTTCTGCGAACTGGGGGTGTAAAGGAGGGAAAGGGGGTGGGTGTTAATTGACGCACCATCGTCGATATATCTTGGGTTACAAAATCCTTGACGAAGGGCCATAGCAAACTTGATCTTCTCGAATTGCTTGCCTCGAATTCCCGTTCTTTTCGAGAGTCGCTCCTTGGTCTCTTTGAAGATCTCGCCCTGCAGTGTTGTATGCGGTCAAAAACGTAATCCATGTTGTTGAGGGAGGATGGGGGTAATTCAGATAATATAATGGAGCACATACTGGCTTAACAACGAATTTGAATGGAACACCATGTGTTTTATTCGGCTCCTTGTCGAAATTGAAGCAATCGATCTTGTATTCCCCTTCTTGCATATTAAGTTCTTCCTGTGGTATCCTCTCAATATAGAGAGTCACATAATCTGTAATGCTAAGTATGCTGTAGTTCTCGGGGAGCTCCTTATACACCTTCCCTCCATAAACTTCATAAACGCGCAGGTGTTGTGCAGTCTCATCATCGAGGTTGGCCCGTTTTTGGAAGCCCAAAATCAGATCAGAGATATTGCCGTTCTTCGCAACGAGGATATCGTATGGTTGCTATGGTAGTATGATTAGCAAGATAGTCAGGAATGATAACGATTTTAAACCCCATTCGGGGCGAAGAAGTTGCATGACGAACCTCCTTAGAAATCCCCTCAGGAAGCCAGGTGACCTTGACCATCTTCTTTGTTTCATATTCACTCAAACTAGTTTCGAGAACCTCATAATAAAGAGCGTCGGGCCGATGAACACTGTATCCATAAGGCGAATACTGACTCGTGAGGATCTGCTGGAGATTCTGTGTCGCATTCCGCTTAATGAATGGTTTGGGCTTCCCGCTGTTCTGGAGCACGGGCGCAAACCGTATATGAGTCGGGTCAATCTTTAAATGTTCGCCAACTTTTGACGTCCATTGTTCGTATGTCATTTTACGGCTGAGAGTTAGTTCGAAAGGTTCGTTTTCTTCTGGTTTTAAAGGCGCGAATTTGACTGAGAGTCGATTCAGAAGATAATCATAGTACTGCCTGGCATCTGTGTATAAGACTGTGGGTGGGAGTCTATGAGAGGGTCTTAGTAGAGTAGCTTAAAAGAACGAAGGAAAACCAAAATATTGAAGGCATTTCATACTCAGAATCGCTGACTTGGCGCTGGAAGCATATAATGTCCCCGTCTTGTATTTCTGATTGGTGGAAAGTCTGCTTGGATTTCATCGGCTCGATCATCGAGTGTTTTATTTCCTATTATTGCGGTAAGTTCATGTCTCAATTTCAGGAAAAATTGGTCACATACCTCAAATAATATGAAAGGGGTCCCAGCAGGCCAGTTCATCAATTCCAGGATTGGACCAGCCAGGTCTGAGACCTTAGAATGTTTCCGAACGAAAACGTGCCCAACACCAGTCAAAGTTTGCTGAACAACATCGAAGTGCTTCAAGAAAACAAGGCTGGTCGCATTACTGCCCTGGGTGTCGGGCCAAGTTGCTTTGCCGTCGGCTCCGAGTTCCCCTACTTCGATAAACAGTCGGAACTGACTCCCCTTTGTGCCGTATCGACTAAACGCCTCTTCAACAGACATATCAAGATCCTTCAGAGGTTGATCTGGGCGAGTGGTTTTATTTTGCCTGTTCACCATTACCCAAAGTCTCACTTGGTCGGGTTTCAATCCCTTTTCTTCAGCAAATTCAGCCACAAACTCGCCAACCTTCTTAGTCCTGAGAACACGGTACAACTTCGCGGCAGCAGGATCGTCAGGCTCCAAATCCAGACTGGTCAAATCGAATC